GCTGGGCGGGCACGCGCCTCAACTGGGCCGTGCAGAGCGCCGCCGCTGACTTCCTGCACCTCATGCTCGTCTGTATGACACACCTCGCGCCGCACGCCAGGTCAGATCACAAACATGTATTATCCCCAAACTTCACCCTGCTCTGTCTAGTCTGGTATTTTTCCGAGAATTGAGATTTATTGTGAGAAATAAGGTATCATTCAAATTATATTCTCATCAATGTAATCAATATACTAAGGTTTTCTTTTGTAGATTCTGCCTGAGCTTTCACGATGAAGTACGTTATTTAGTACCTGAACATCTAAAGTACGAGACAGCATTGGCATTGCACATCACTAATCTCCTCACAAGGGCGTTTTGTTCACAGCGGTAAGTTATTATAGAACACTTCAAAATACCTCAAAGTTCGCATTGCCGTAACGTGATATTAAGTAAATAGAAACTTAGAGTTCCCATGTAGACAAGAAACAAGAAAAAATAAGTAAAATAATTTTGTTTCGTTTCAGTGTTGGAATATACGATCTACCACAGTCGGTAGCGTTCTTCACTTCGGTAGAAGTAGATCAAGTTCTGAGAAAAGAATGCAATGTTAGCTGCACGACGCCCTCCAACCCGCATGGTTTGGAGAAAGGCTATGGTATACCGAATGGCGAATCATTGACTATATTCGATGCTATTGAGAAATGTAAATTGAATAAATAGTTAAGATATTAGAGTGTTTCTTACTTCATGACAAATACGCTTGGTATTTGTGCAATTTAACTTAATTCTTGATTAAAAAGATGTGATAAAGGTACGTTTTCATGAATGCAAATAATATTTTTAGATCATCCATAGATATGGTAAACTACTAATAATATAGTCTATGCAACTAAAAAAAAATGTCAGATGTCACAATACAAAATACAAAATGTCATTTGATTATTAAACGTCAAATCGTAGTTACTTTTTAGAGGTTATATACAAACAAAAACTAGAGAAATCTAAAACTTATTGAATTCTTACTCAGTTCTTATTATCTGTTATAAATGATCTAAAATGTCTAAAGTTACAAAACGAAAACATGTGATGAACGAAGCTCTGTGGGACGATTACGAATTACCAAAACATAATCAAAGCATCGTCAAAGTGATAAAAAGCAAAGGAAACAATTTACACGAGGTATTCTTTGATTGTGTCTCTTAAAAATTAAATTTATACTTCCATACATAGTGCCTTACTAGAGAACATTTTAATTTACAACCTAAATGTAAAATAAAGTTCGAGAAATTACTTTTATTCCTTGTTCTCCTTTTACGTTAATTTTGTAGTTATTGATCATTAGAGTTTTAATATGCTTTTACTATTTTTGTAGCCCATTTTTTTTAATTCAGACTGACTTCTTATAGAAATTGATTCTATTTATTTTAATGTGTTTTTTTTAGATTACAACACCTTCTGGTGAAGAATATTTAGTATCAATGCCTACAAAGTTTAGGAAAAATATCTGGGTGAAAAGAGGTGATTATATCCTTGTCGAACCAATACTAGAGGGTGATAAAGTTAAAGCGGAAATAGTAAAAATAATGAACAAGGACTCTATTAAGTTTTATAAAGAGAATAATGTATGGCCCAAGGAGTTTGATGATGAAAAGAAGAAGCAAGAGACATTTGATGATGATGAATTATTTGTAAACACTAACCGAGTGCATGTACAGACATATCAAAGTGATAGTGACTCAAGTGACTCAGAAAGTGACAGTGATGAAAATGATAGCAATAAATAAAAGTTTTTTTTGTAAACATTTTTTATTTTGTCAATGGATAAAAATAGAAGCACTAATCCACAACCCGGAAGGATCATAAGATCTCTAGATGATTAAAAATTCATTCTTTACATTAAATTTTAATAAACAATATGAGAGCACATTATTATAAAATTTTCTATATCTTATCTATAATAAATACATTGTTTTCTATTGTAAATAAATAATGTAACAAATATAAATTACAACATCTTAACCTAGTATTGCATTATAAATATATTTATTTAAATTGCTTGTGACTCCAATGCAAATGCATTTACCAAGTAATAGACCATTTTATTGAAAAGTTATGCATGCATGCATCCATTAAATGCCAATGCATGCATAGTGGATCCATGCATTCACTTGAAAACAACTTTAATGTGTTGATACTGACATTAGTCATTCTTTAAAGAATTATTGTTAAACATAATGTAAAGAAACTACACAATAAAAGGAAGACAAAACAGTGTAGATGTATATCCTAATGATATAAGAATATAAAATTCCTGGCCTGGTAGGTGGTTTTAATTGGTTTCTTTATTACATAACTTATATGTGTTTATTTGTTTCATCATTTTCAACATGTTCAGGGTTTTTATATTCTGGTCAGGCTATAAATATAAATACAGAATCTAAAAATTTAGTGTCAAAGAGTAAGAATGCTTATAATGAAAGTGAGACAAAAACTTTAACATTTTCTGGGAGTTATTATGTAACAATTTGTACTTATACAAAGGTTAGCCAGCACATAAGCTTTATATTTCTAGCTTTAACCATAGATATAATAATCAATTTAAGCTACCAATATCCTAATATTGCTTTATTTTAATATGTCTTTGAAAATTGTAAATAGATGAAAAGGCATGTGTATATGAATTGCTAGAAAATTTTTGCACTATAAAATATATTTCCTTGCTTAATCCCTTTTCATTGTAGATGCCAACTCTTATTTCATAACAATATCTTTCAACCTACTACTATCATAATCATTAAAAACTTCATTCAAAAATAAGCTGCTATAAAAATCTCTTATTTACTTAATATCAGCTTCCGCATCATCTGCCATTATATACTCATAAATACATTTGATTAATTCAACAGATTTTACTTTAGACCACCCTTCAGTCTTTGTAATAAGTTTAGCTTGACCATCTTTTATAAACTCTAACGTTAATTGCTTTAATGTTTTAGCTGAATGTAAATCAGCCAATTGCAGAGTCTCAATAGCATTGTCTACTGTTAGTTTTTTGTGTAGAGCCTCCTCACATAAGCCCTTAAGTCTGCTCAGCTGGTAATAATCAGCTGCTGCAAGGAGTTTCTCTGGAATTTCATCAACTTTTGGCGCTTTGTCGCTGTATATGAATGTAAGAACTTCCCTAAGTACTTCTGCCTCTAATGGAGACTCAATACTATTTGTAAAACATTCAGTTGTGTTATGCTCAAAATGAGCCTTAAGAACAGCACTCCTACTGGACAGCACAGCTTTATGGACTTTGTATTCATCCCCTTCAACAGACTTCATTGTTACATCAGAAAACATACCATTATGAAGAAGATTTTCTATATCATTACTTAACTGAGCTTCGAAAATATTAGAGCGATCGATTTTTATATCATTAGAAACCAAAAATTGGAATTTTAAGCGCAAGCTTCCATCGCTTAACAAAAATATGTCACGACCATCGTAACTACCAATGTCTCTTTTAAATAATGTAGCTAAATATTGCCATTTATTTGCATGAACGGTGTGATATTCTTTAATTACTATGGAACGTTCTTCAAAACGTTTTAGGCATATAGTTAGGATAGATTTTAAAAATACCGAATTTGGTGATAGATAGTATATTTCAACAATATCGTTATCACGACCCAGGAACTGCATTTTCAATTGGAACCTTGCCTCAATAATCTCCATGGTGTGATCTTTTGATTTGTCTGTTCTGAATTCTCGACAGCTCCTATTTTCTAACAGGTTTATAAAATTTGGAACTGTCCACAGTATGGTATTGATCCTCGTTTGGCCTTCGATTCGAGTTGTATAATTTATGCTTGACATGTTATCACAGTTTTCGAATTACTTTTAGTCCAAGTTAAATTAGTTAATGTTTCTTTTTGCAATGTTTTGATTTTGGTTTTTGACTGATTTTTTCAGGATTTATTTTGTCTATGAATGGCGCCAAAGAGTAGAATAGACTAGAGAAGATCATGAGTGAGCAAGCAATAAAAATATAAATAGGGAAGCCCAGTGGACACGGCCGCTTTACAGATTTAGGCCAGATTTTCTAATTAATTATCTTCGCTGATCAATAAAATAAATCAAAAAGAGTGTTTGAAAGGTTACAATATTATCTAAATCATCATAAATTCCTGGACTGTGCATTAGAGCAAAATTAAAAATGAGAGACTTACAAAAATTAAATCTCTAAAAACACAGTTTCGGCCTAGACAGTGGCCCAACTACTTGTTACGGCACACCTTTTAATCACTACGGAATATCATTGTCATCTCTCTAACTGCATAATATTTTTTTCCCGAACTAAAAAGTTATGTAAAATCGATACATCGATAAATGCAACATCTCTATATCGCGTCGCTGCTCGGTGGCTTGAGTTACAACTGTCACTGTCAAAAATGTTTAAAATTGTATTTTTAAACGATATAAATATAATGTTTTCGTCGATAATTGCATAAATTAATACTCTAATGTATAAGTATAGTTAGTTAGTTTGCTTGTATTAAAGAATCTAGAATTGGAACATATTGGTTTAGTTATTAACCACAGTAATAACCCTACATTGTATGCCACAACTAAAACATAAAAAATGGCTAAATTTCAAGTAAATACCAAGTCAAAAGATTATTTAAGAGATAAAGAAGCCTTTTTAAAAGACTTAAAGCAGTTTAATGACAGTAAAAAGTAATTATCGAGTGATATTCACATGAATGCTCCTATATCTTTTTTGGTGTCAGTTTTTGAAGTGTTTGTTATAATTTCAGTATTCCATATAAGATTCCGGTTGTGAATGGCGTTGAAATAGATTTATATTTGTTCTATTCGTTGGTTCAACAACGTGGAGGATTAGGGAAGGTTTGTTCTTTAAAAATAATGTTAAAGTTACCTTATTTAAACTATTTTTATTCTATACGATTTGCTTGTTAGTAAACAATAGTTGTATTATTTTATGAGTCATAACTACTTTATTTAATTTTAGGTGAATCAAAATGATACCTGGGAGTCATTTTTAAGGTTGCTTAGACTCCCACATCCATGTATCAATGGATCTACTCTCTTGAGAAGAATTTATGGAATGTATTTAGAAAAGTAAGACATTTCCTTTATTGCTATATAAAAAACAATAGTTGTTGCTTGTGAATTTGTCCATGTGAAATTAAAAAATAGTAAAAAGTATAGTTATTTGGCAATAATTTAGCTTCTTAATGGTGAATAATAATTTGAGATTGCGTCAGTAGTTTTTAAGTTATTTCAATACATTTAAATATAGTTCCTCTTTAGATTACGCAGTAATGCTTAACAAATTCTATTTTTCCAATAAGAAACATTTTTCATGTAACAACCCTGCAAAATCTATTATAAACAGAAAAGATTTATTTGTTTGTTTGTAAATGCTCTAAAAGTACTAAACCATTAAGGTACATTTTCACAGAATAACCTATGTTATTCTGTGAAAATGTACCACACCATGTAATACACTATAGAAATTACTATAGTGGTTAACTTATTAGTAATGTTATTTGTTTTGACTTAACCAGGTATGAGAGGGCAAAGGGTCCTCCAGGTCGTGATGATGACAATGATATAGATGAGGATCCAAGAAGAGGTCGTGGAGGTGGAATGCCTCGTATTACTTTTGGTGGTGGTACTTACATATCAGGTAAATTGTTTGTTAATATTCACTGTTTTATTCAATATCTAGTTGTTTTCTCTTTTTACTTTAAATTATTCAAATAAAACACACTTTTTTAAGTATCATTTGCTCATAGTCTCTGAGCTGTTCAAAGAAAAACATTTCCTTAATAATAAAACTGTAAAGATGAAAATGCAAATACTGCCTTCTAAGGGCTTATGTACCCAACATCAATACTAACAGAATAGATAACTTTTGTCTATGATTCATTGTTGTATGTACAAAGCGCCTGTTTATAGTTTATCTTGCCTTGTGTATGCCTAATTTAGAGCAAGTTTCAAAGTATTTCTTTATGTACCATTTGTTATTTTACAGCATCAGGTGAAGCACTCCGTACCAACGTAGCGCCGAAAATTGCTGGCCCGTCTGAACGACTGACATTGTCGCTGCTATCGCCTATGCCGAATGAACAAGACTTTGCTATAAATGTATGCACAGTGTTAGCAGCGGATCATAACAATCGCCTACCATTGAGTACAACCCCACATATATTGGACTTCTTATTGGCACATGCTGGAGTATACAATCATTGTAAGTATTAATACATGGTTTAATGTGACAAATAAGAAATTGACGTTTTGATTTCGATTTCTGTAGCTGCAAATGTGTTACCTAAAGTTAAAACTAAAATTAAATTAAAAGACAGAGTAGCGAACATAGATTCATTGTTATGTTCAATAAAATTCTAATTATCAATATATTCTAGTTATGTTTTTTTTATTTCCTTTTAAAAAAAATATATTTGAAGGATACATTTTTTGATCCTTCGAGCAGGATGTAACTTAGTTTTCACTTTTAGCAAGTCTTCGCGATACTATTGGTCGATCGTATTATGAGGCGCGAGGTCGGTATCCGCATGAGTTCTGGGAGACGAGGTCTGGAGGCGGCGGGGCTAAGGAGTTGGCTGATGAGAGCAAGTTCATGCAGCCTGGGATTGAGCAGCCTGAGCTGATGGTACAAGCACTAGCGGCCCATAATACCCTCACGGATTGCTTGATGCAGGATGGTGGGGATGTGGAGTTGGAGAAGTTGATTGATGATGGCAGCTCGGTAAGTTTATTTCTTAAATGACCAAAGTCAAAAGCTGCTAGTGTTACATGGAAAAGGAAGACATATAATAGAAAAGACTGGCAAGTGCTAGTGGTGATTGTTGCAGAAACAAAACACAATCAGGTGTCCAATGATAATTAATGTTGTTTATTTTACTTTATGTTGAACTTTGTAAGATTGTTGCAATAAAGGCTATTATTATTATTATCCTATATCTTTATTTTCTGTATACATATATATGTATTTTTAAATCATATAAAAAGCAATGCATCACCGGCTGCTCCAATAAATCAAGCAACCAGGTTAGGATTGCAGAGACAGGAACCTCCTTATTTTTATTATTATGACTAATATCAAAAAGTATATTAAAGTGTCATCCCAAATTTTATATGTGAAAGTTTCTTTTACTTGATCTGCTTGTAGTTGGTTTTGTTGAAAAGTGTATATTAAAAAAAATGTTATAACAATTCCAGATCAAGTCAGTTTATTTGGTATTTTGTAATCTAAAACTGTGATGATATTTTCTTGTGACATACACACCTTTTTCTAGATACAGGACACATTAGAAGATTGGGTGACGGAGCCATCAGAAGAGAACTTATTGTTTGCTCCCGAGTTGCCCGGGGGCTCGGCCTGTGTGTACACACAGCGAGTACTGCAAGTCGCTTCTATAGTACGCTCATTGTCCTTCCATGAGGAGAATGTACAGTATTTAGCTAAAAATACTACACTTATACGGTAAGTAGCTTATTTCTTTTAAACATGGTTAATATATTTTTATACGTTAAAATAATCAATTTGTTTGTTCTAGATTTTTGTTACTCTGTGCCAATTGTTGGGTGGGAACTCTACGTCAGAGCGGCTTGGATACCCTCGGTAATGTTTCCACTGAATTGGTAATAAAGGTGAGTGTATAATATTCTCTATTTTAATATGTGATTTATTTAAGATCATATATGGGACTACAGTATCTTTGTGTCAAGTAACCGGACCGGTATAGTGTTAATGGTATTATTTTATTTTAACATAACATTTAACATTGGTATAAGTTATTGTTTTTGTAGGATCCAGCGACGTGTTTGATATCTCGTCACATTTTATCCACGATCCAGTCGGCGCTGGTGTCGGCGGACCGCGCGCGTGTGCTCGCAGCCTTAGAATTACTTAACAAATTAGCGCAGAACGAAGTTAATGAAGATGCATTACTAAAAGCCTTGGAAGCTAAGGTTTGTGAAAATGTTATGGTATCAATTGTGACTATATTTTTTTTTACTGATAATCGTATTTGTTTTTAAAATTGAAATAGCTTTGTTAAGTTTAGCTACTATGGACCGATTAATTCTTTGAAATAATGTAAAACAGAGTAACAATAATCAGCAATTATAAACTTAAATTTACGAATAAGAATTTAAACAATCAAAATGCAGTATGTTCACTGTGTATTGAACTAATTAAATTCATTATTAGTATAATTTATTATAAATCCAAATATAACGCTGAAAAATTGTGTTATGTATCAACATTTTATGCCGTATCAAAATACGTACTAAAGTATGTTTTAAACAAAAGCGGCATTGTAATTGAAGGGTCATATTTTTACTGAAATATCTATATATTGAAACTTTAATGTTACATTTAGAGGGTTATCAATTATAAGTTTGTGTATAGGGCACAGTGTATTAAGTGGTGTGTTACAGGTGTACAGCGAGGTGTGCGCGCTGCTCACCCTGCGCGATATAATGGCGTTAGTGTGTGCGTTGGAGTGCGTGTACGCGCTGACGTCA